GGCTGTCCAAGGAAGCTTTACAGATAGCTGAGGAAAGAAGGGAGGCGAAAGGCAAGGGAGAAAGAGAAAGATACACCCAATTGAATGCAGAATTCCAGAGAATAGCTAGAAGAGATAAGAAGGCCTTCTTAAATGAACAGTGCAATGAAAAGAGGAAAACAATAGAATGGGAAAGACTAGAGATCTCTTCAAGAAAATTGGAGATATCAAGGGAATGTTTCATGCAAAGGTGGGCATGATAAAGGACAAAAATGGCAGGGACCTAACAGAGGCAGAAGAGATTAAGAAGAGGTGGCAAGATTACACAGAAGAACTACACAAGAAAGACCTTAACCTTCCTGATAACCATGATGGGGTAGTCACTGACCTCGAGCCAGACACCCTGGAATGTGAAGTCAAAAGGGACTTAGGAAGTCTTAGCAACAACAAAGCTAGTGGAGGAGACAGTATTCCAGCTGAGCTATTCAAAATCCTAAAAGATGATGCAGTAAAAGTGCTACACTCAATATGCCACCAAACTTGGAAAACTCAACAGTGGCCACAGGATTGGAAAAGGTCAGTTTACATTCCAATTCCAAAGAAGGGCAATGTCAAAGAATGTTCAAACTACAGCATCATTGCACTCATTTCACATGCTAACGAAGTTATGCTTAAACTCCTACAAGCTAGTGGACCGAGAACTACCAGAATTACAGGCAGGATTTTGCAAAGGCAGAGGAACTAGAGATCAAATTGCCAACATATACTGGATCATGGAGATAGCTAGGGAGTTCCAGAAAAAGCTTCTGCTTTATTGACTACGCTATAGCCAACGATTGTGTGGATCACAACAAATTGTGGCAAGTTCTTAAAGAGATGGGAGTACCAGACCATTTTATTGGTCTCTTGAGAAACTTGTATGTGGGTCAAGAAGCAACAGTGAGAACTGGACATGAAACTACTGATTGATTCAAATTGGGAAAGGAGTACGGCAAGGGTGCATACTGTCATCCTGCCTATTTAACTTATATGCAGTGCACATCATGCGAAAGGTGGGGCTGGATGAATCACAAGTTGGAAGTAAGATTGCGGGAGAAATAACAACCTCAGATATGCAGATGATACCACTCTAATGGCAGAACGTGAAGAGGAACTAAAGAGCCTCTTGATGCGGGTGAAAGAGAAGAGCACAAAAGCTGGCTTGAAACTCAATAGTAAGGAAACTTAGATCATGGTATCCGGTCCTATCACTTCCTGGCAAATAGATGGGGAAGAAATGAAGGTAGTGAAAGATTTTATTTTCTTGGGCTCCAAGATCACCACAGACAGTGACTGCAGCCAAGAAATTAAAAGACACTTGCTCCTTGGGAGGAGAGCTATGGTAATCTAGACAGCATACTAAAAAGCAGAGATATCACCCTGCCGACAAAAGTGCATATAGTCAAGGCTATGGTTTTCCTAGTTGCAATGTATGGCTGTGAAAGTTGGACCATAAGGAAGGCTGAGCGCCAAACAATTGAGGCATTTGAATTGTGGTGCTGGAGAAGACTCCTGCAAGTCCCTTGGACTGCAAAGCAATCAAACCAGTCAGTCTAAGAGGAGTTCAACCCTGACTGCTCCTTAGAAGACCAGATACTGAAGATGAAACTCAAATACTTTGGCCACCTAATGAGAAGGAAGAACTCACTGGAGAAGACCCTAATGCTGGGAACAATTGACAGCAAAAGAAGAAGGAAACCACAGGGACTGAGGTGGGTTGATGGAGTCACTGATGCAGTCGTTGTGAGCTTAGGTGGACTCGGGAATGGTAGAGGACAGGAAGACCTGGAGGAATATTGTCCATGTGATCACAATGGGTCAGATCCGACTTTGCGACTAGCATAGCAATTTATAATTGCTAATATCGTTCTTTCTCTCAGAAACCCTTCATCTGTGAAAGAGTCTTACCCTAAATTACACACATTGCAAAAGGGACTGATACAATCCAAGTATGGAATGTGTAAATAATCTTGAGTTATAATGAATGTGTAAATTATCTTGAGTTATAATGAAAGCAAAGTCTTTTTCATTGTTATCAAGGTGTGTTTTAAGTTCAATGATTACATTGTACCTGTTATGCTGCTCCTCCTTCAGGACAATGTTGTGGCTCAATATGATTCCTTAAAGTAAATCGTAAATGCAGGAAATCCCAACCATGGCTTTCCAAAATCATGTCTGATTTTTGCTCTATGCACAACCCTGTAATGGATTACTTTGTAGACCACAACAGTTGTCTTATGAGAGAGAGTGTTTAACCTGTTATCCCATGCCCTTTCCTCTACATAAATCTTTCCTGTTCACAAGCTTCTGTATCTCCATGTAGAGAAAAAAGGTACATGTGAGTCTATCCTTTTTGCTCCATGGTATCAGTGGCAACATCCCGGAGGTAGGAGATTTACATTGAGGAATGCCACTTGTTTAATTACCAAATCAATTGGAAAGTCTGGGCATTAATAAAACAATATCCCAGGAATTGCTAACAGATCTCCCACATCCCGCACATTTGGTTCTTCTTGAAATAAATGAGTCCTGAGCCATCGTGGGGCTACAGGTTAGGCCCTCACACACACAAAGTCCCAGAAATGGTGTTTCCCACACATTTCAGCTGACAGATTTGGGCACTAGGGCCCTTTTCAAAACAACATCCATCCTTTGGATTCTTTAAGCTGAAGGCCACGTATGAGATTTAGTCCTCTCATGCCTGACTCAACCAAACAGCTGCTCAATGGGACTATTGCTTTGTGAAGGGGAGCCCCTCGGTTAGAGCTGCTCCTGGTATGTATTAGTTCAATGTAGAACCCCTAAGAAAGAAATGGAACTATTGCAGAACCAAGTAACTGGTCATTCTTACTGTCAAGTACATTTTCTGTCTAGTTCACAATGCAGGCAATAATGTATTGCTTCAATACACGTCACATCTTGTAATTAATGACATAATAGCTACGCGTAAGAGCTAGGCCACTGTGATACCATTGGAAGCACTGCTTCCAAGCACTGCAATCTATAATTAATCTATTAATTAGATTGATTGATTGATTGATTGATTAAACAAATAAATACCATTAAAATCTACCTGTAAAGCCATTTGACAAGGTTGATCTACTTTTGTTAAAAGTGTAGGCCCCGGCAAGGTGATTAGTGCTTCTGTGTACAGAAAGCTACAAGCTACATATACACTGAGTCGGTCCTCATTTGTAAGTTGCATTAGCTCTTCTTTCATTTAAGTGTAAGCAACCTATATGTGAAATATAGACTAGAACTCTGCAGGAAGATAAAGTACATCATAGTTTTCAGCAACATACTTCTTCAAGGTTACTTTTGTGTTTTTCCCACAATACTTTCTACAGGAACTCACTTTCTCCCCATTTCATAGTTTTCCTTTCAGTAGACAGGGATAGGGTGCTTTCCTCATTATAGCCAAGAGCTGAGAGTCACTTCTCCCTCCTCATAGAACTGCACCTATCTATAGATTTATTGCACTTCTATTGTGCCCAATAACAAATGGTTGGGGCCTTAAGAATTTTCCTTTTTCTGTCAAGCAACCAAGTAGTCACTGGTAAGCATTAGGGTTGAATACCACAATGTTTCCTTTCCCTGGTGTGGTTATCCTAAAGCAAAACTCACTTGATTCCTATAAATTCTGAAGTTCTCCTCAAAGAAAAAAAGAGAAATTTCATGCCACTACAAGTCTGAACTCCTCTGTGTATTCTAGTTTGCAATGTGAAGCAACTTAAAAGTTGAACTGTTAATGGCAACTCAGTTCTCTTCTAGGAACTATGTTTTGAAAGGATTTTATCATTTGAACTATTGGTGTATAGCAGTGTACAATAGGTCAAGTCATTCTTTGATGAAGTTATTTGGCTTCTAGCATTTATGAGGTAAAGGGGCAAAGAAGATGCAAATAAAATCTTCTTTATTCACAATTCAGGTATAATCCCACAAAATGATAGTGTGCAGTTATCCTTATACAGAACTATTAGTGCCGTTAAGTCTAATTTGCAAATACTAAATATTCTTGGTGCATCTGAAAGAAACTGGCATATTTTAGTACTGTGTCAGTCAAACAATATTAGCTTTGTATAATTGACTGGATTCAAGAACTGAATCAAATGGTCTGCTTCCTACACCTTCAAACATACAAATTCTTGGTTTCTAAGACAGAAACTGCCTTTGCATTTGCCTGCCTTTTCACTCAATTGCAACACCTGAATCCTGTTTTTACAAAGGATTTTGTACCATTTCCAAAGAAAGTTGCAGACACGCTGTGATACTCTGATCAATACTCAGGAGGCTCCATGCATCTTATCAATCACCCTCAGGGCTGGCCTGAGCATTCGGCAGAGTGAAATGTGTGGCAGATGCCAGCAAGGTTTTAGATGAGATGCCTGTGCACAGGGCCAGCTCCTCTATGTTGTCTTGCTGCCTTCAGGTGCAGGTAAGGCTGTTGCCTTCATCAGCTGTGGTGAAGGCAGCCAGTCCTGGTAGGATTTGCAATTGGTAATTTTGTTCCTTGCCTCAGACAGAAAAATGGATGTAAGACTGTGCACGCCTACTCCAAGTAAGGTCCACTGAGTTTGATGGAACAGGTAAGGGAAAAAGAAAGAGAGAGAATTTTAAGCATTGAGCAATGGCTCTGAATTCATGTGTGTGGGTACACACCAAAAGCCTTGTTATTTAGGACACATTTCAATCAGATGGCACAAGAGCTGCAAGGGCAGCTCAAAGCCAAACTGCTGTAGTATGGACAGTGAGTTACAAGGAATACCAAAACACTAAAAACAATTGAGATATGGAAAGTCCTAAACGGGTCTTCCATAGTTCTCTTAATTATGTGCATAATGCCACATATTAGTGGGCATAATTTCCCACTCAAGCTCCACATAAGGATGTGCTTGCTGTCAAATAGCTTGATGCTGAAGCACACAGCCTGGTAATAGAAATTAAAAAAATAATACATCACTCCCAGATAACATATTAATAACATGCTAGATAGAGTCATCCTAGATTTCAAAGAGAAAATGTATAAACAAGAAGCTGGGCCTTAAACCAGCAGCAATATAAATCTTAGTTTTGGAGGAACTATGAAAGATAAATAACCATATCATTATGAAATAGAAAAATACTGAATTGCATTAAAAACCTCCACTAAGTAACTGTAAAATGTCACTATGAAAACCCAGTGGCAATATGCCTTAAAAACATAATGAATTAAACATCTCAAATTATGCTAATGAGGTTTCTTCATCTTTTTCTTCTTTTCAACAAATCACATACACATATGTGAGTTCAACAGACTGAAATTAAAGTATTTGCTTAAGATGTAACTAGATACCAATAAACCTTAGGTATTTTTCGGAAACATCTTCCTGAAATCTGTAGCAGTTTTTATCCACAAACCCTGTTATAACCTTTCTTCTTTACACTGGCTTGCCGTGATACGATGGCCTGAAAGATCAGGTGACTGTGGTTACAGCCTTGTGCATTCACTCCTCAAAATACAAGTTTAATATTAGCTTGATTTAGGGGAAGTGTTTCTGGTTTCCAATCTGGCTGAAAAAAATGAATGTTGAATGTCCGGGCCCAGTTCTCAAATACTCGTTTCTCTGTGATAAAACGATGGTGACTTCCCTTTCTTCCCCGTTCGTGTGAAACGTACATTGTACATTCATCGGGTCCCAGTGGTTCATAATAATGATAGGGTACAAATGGATGATTGGTATCCCTGCAGAAAGAAAGAGAAAATAGGTGGAAGACCCAGCTGTGCTTACTTGACTGACTGTAAGTATTATTAACAAACAGATCTGCCCTGAATCATGTTTTTCTTTGTTCCAACACAAGAAGATGAATTTAGTTCTTTTAAAAAGAGCAGTATTTTAAGCAATATTTAAATGATTTTACCTGGTCTCATTAAAACACTGCAATTCAAAAACAACATGGTTGCCTCACTTGAGCATGTGAACCTGGATGCTTATATACCTGCCTTATGTTGGGAGAAACCCTTCAGGTGCATTTAGAGAGATGAATAGGATTAGCAAATGGAAAACTGATCTCTACTGTTTGTTTCTGTGACTCAAGCACATATAAAAATCCTACCAAGCATGGTGCACAGAATAATAGTACACTTCGCTATAAGGGCCTCAGCTATAGCTTGTCAATCATTGTTGCAAAAACTGAAATGAAATACAATTATTTTGCAATAGTTACTTTAAAGAATGCATTTGTACTTGATAATTGGAACAAACAACTGCAGTCTTGGCAAAAGTCATAGCCCCCTCCCCAACTCATGCTATCCTGCAGGATATACATAATTACAGCATTTGAAAAATTTATCCTAAATGGAACTAAGTCTGGTTAGGAACTGGTTCAAATTTTCCTTTCTGTATCAGTTGTACTTTGTTGGATAAGGCAGTTGTTCTTAATGTTATAAGGTTCTTAGAATGACCAGCTGTGATGCAGCTGTAATTTGGACAGATAGCATGGATGGTCTTATCACAACCACCTGGCATGAAAGAAAGGGAGAAGCAGGTCTTTGAAGGTGAGCAGATGGAATAGTCCTGGTTCTATACCCTGATGGTGTGGGAATGTGTCTTAAACTGATGTGTATTTGATGCCATAGATAGAACACAGATGCCCCAAACAGCTTGAGTTGCATGTGGAAACAGGGTTCCATGAATAGGTCACCATCCTGGATGAGGTCACAAATAAACAATAGTCCTTTTTGTGTTTAGGTATCTATGTGTGTGGAATCTCATATCCAACTATTTATTTATTTATCAAATTTGTATGCTGTCCAATTAGTTGTGTCTCTAAAACTAAGCAAGAAGTTTGCCCTGTCAACTCTGATAGTGCTCTTCCCATTTAAGAAGCCATTGTTTTCCAGCATCAACTTCTCCAACTCATCCCTCTGTAGCTGATAAATAACAAACACATTGCACATGCAATAGAAGAAACACAGAGTTACCACTGCTTCATGTTTTCTTCTGCACTTTATCTTGGGCAATGGCATATATATATGTGTGTGTGTGTGTGTGTGTGTGTGTCTAAATATAAAATGTGATATAAAATGTAAAATGACATCATGTCCCCAATAACAAAGCTCATTAATCTGATCTATTAGTGGGATAAAGCATAGGGCAATAAGGCCACAACGTTCCAATGAAGAATCTACAGAGTGGAGGGATCTTGGCATTGCTAGTAGTGTATCTTTTTCTACCAAGAAACACATGAAGTGGTTGAGATGGATTGCACTTTCCCAGATGAGTGCCAAGAAAATGCATTCATCTCTGTAGCAGATGCAGCAGATACTTCTGTATCAGAACCACAGAATGCATCCCACCTCTGGATGCCTTACAACAAGAGAGTAACAAATGTGCATTCAAGAGGAGCAACTTTTATTCATCACCTTTTAAGCTCTAGTTAACACAGTGGGTCTTACTTAAAAGAGCTCTGGTCCATAACACTGATCTACCCACATTCATCTTATTGAGAAAACATCTATATTAAACATCTTCTAATAGTTTACAAGATGTTTAAATCTATATTAAACATCTATACTCTCTTGAGCCAGATGACATTTTGAGTTGTGTTTAAACAGTTTAGTTCTCTAGATTCAATAACCCAGATCAAGACTAGTGTTTTAACTCATCAATTTACAATTAAAATTTGACGCTAGCAAATGAAATGCATGAGCAATATATATGAGAAAGTGGAAAGTCATCCTCATTTATTAATATAAAAACAGATGCTGTTTTACAACTCTGTGATACTAGACATTAATCAGCACTTTGTTGGGTTTAATGTGCTTATTAATATCACAACTGGGAGTTATTTATAGGTGACAATTTGTAAAATATGCAACAGTTTCCTGCAGCGACACTGGGAAACAGTCAGTTGTCACCTTATAGTGCACACGAGATACAGCAGACTTGACAGTGATAAGGGCAGGACAAAAGGGTCACTCAAGTGTTTGATGAAATGAGCAAAGAACATCTGTGGAATTATAAGCACTGCTTTTGAGAGAAATTATGCTATCTCCATAAGCCCTGAATCCCACTGTTAAGATTACACAAACTAGCAATGATGGACAAGCAGACTAGATTTAGGGATGCTCTTTTTGTTTCTGCCTCTTCCAATAACTCTGCTTTTCTACAAGAAAATGCTAATATGTAGCATTTTCATATGTTTCAAGTTCACAGATACTAAAATGGCTACAACAGAGGAGCAGGTACTCCAGAAGGATCTGGACAAACTATGGAAGTGGGCAGGGGACAAAAGGATGGCGTAATAAAGGAAAAATTAAGTCCTGAGTATTCATTGGCTCCAGTTTCCAAGTTACTGCTTCAGGTCAAAATTGCATCAAAATGATTCACAATTACGAGGAGGATGTGTGATTATGCTCATTAACTTTTCTGCAAAATGTGAGATAGCAATGAGAATGGTGCCACACCAATCATTATAAATTTATCTTTCTATTGATACCAATAACATAACTTTTCATTCATTTATTGGTGTTTAATTGAGGTTACCATGCAAAAATAGCAGTTGCTACTATGATCGGTGGGTTCCCTCTACACCATTGGGACTGCAAAAGGCATGGACTTTTTCTTCTTGTTTAGCCAATGACACAAATAAGTTGCACATGTAGTGCAACAATAATGAGGGGCCCAACTCTTGCTCTGATCCCCTATTTGGCATCCAAAATATAGGTGGAATGCCTTTTTTACCACTGCCATCATACTGTACTTTTGAGATGCAAATTTAACCTCGCCACAAATGTAGCAGAAGTTATCTGCGTTGTTTGCACAGTTTCAAGACATGACTTCTGAGGGAAAATATCATGCAACTGTTCCTTGGAAATGTTAGGCAATGACACTTTCATGTGCCACCAGATATATCTGTATGATGCATAGATCTGACCAAGACAAATGTACCTTGCAATAAAAGAACTAGTAACTAGTGCTGCAGGGTTCAGTCCCGGGCCCAGTGTTCTTCAACATCTTTATTAATGATTTAGATGTGGAAGTACAAGGAAAGATAATCAAATTTGCAAATGATTCAGAACTGGGTAGAATAGCAAATACCCCTCATGGCCCCTTCCAACTACACTATTCGATGATTCTGTGATTTTTCTCAGTAGGTCACAAAACTCCCAAAGTATTCCCATTGAATTATTGATGGCAAACATGTGAATAATCAAATCCGCAAAAGCTAAACCACAAATGTTTGTCTGTATCAGCCCAGCATAGACAGCACAACTGTGCCCATCAGATTTTAAAGTGACTCAGCAGCTATGATCCTGTGGACAGGGAAGTGCCTTGTAATCTTCCTAGTAAGGAATTCTATCCAATGATCACCAAGATTTGAAACTATTCACTGTTCAAGGGGCACAACGATAGGACTGGGATTCTACTGGTGTGATCTCCCCCCACCCCCCACAATGTCCCTACTGTTTCCCTAACTGAGCTGGTAGAGGGGAAGTAGGATGTGACTGGCTTCCCTCAAACTTAGTGTGTTAGGGAATTTTAGGAAGACCCTTCTCAAAAATTACTCAGGATTTTTATACTTTGAGTAGCAATCATGGGTTTGTAATTTATGTATATATAGACCACCCTAGAAAATCCCAGACTATGGACAATAATAACAAAAATAACTGAATTAATACATATGTAGTGAGGCACACTTTTCATTAGATGCTTGCTGGCCAGGATGAAAGTGATCAAAGATTTCAGTAGCATGGACACTGAACAGTATTTATCTGCTAAAATGCTAAACCTCTAAAGGAGTGTGTGTGCAGAGGGGAACATTAAAATGATCCACCCTTGGAGCTAATGGATCCAGAAGGATTCTTGAATTTTCTGGAGAATTTTCTACTTGCTAGAGCTACTGATCATAACAAAGACACGACTGAATAATCCAACTAAACACAGAGTCTATTTTAGGATATCCTGAGTAGATCCTACTACATGGTGATCGCAACCCAGTGGAAATGTTTCAAGTGAAGTGACTATAGGGCAGAGAGCAGTATGGGGAGCCCTGAGTCATACATTTGTCCACTGTCATAAATTTGCAATCACTTTGCTGATAAAATTGCTTGTATCTGCTCTATGCTGAGCTCTGTATTAAAGAAGAGGCATTTGCTTGTTTCTTTTTAATATTCCCACCATAGCATGGCCACTTCATGAAATAAGCTAAGTTAAAGTACCTAAGAGTCCATGTGAACAAATATTATAAAATACATATGTGTGCACACAGATGCATACACACATTCTATTTTTTTCTTTGCTAAGAATAATCTGTTTGAAAAATAATTTAAAATAATTTTCTAAAGCTTCGCTGCCCTTGCCCAGATTAATCTCATGCTCATTATAGCATTACTTGTAGCTGATAAATATTCACAGGCTAAAAGCAACTAACAAGTGCAAATAAAAACTTTTAATAATTTATGCAACATAATTTAATGTTGTGTTGGATTCAGAACCCAATCATGGAGCCTACAGGCATAGAGCTTCAGGAAAACCAGATAGTTGTTTTATGGATAGTATAAATAGATTTGTGTATTTATCCATAACACGGAGTTTTGCATTGAGTTATTCATAAATTCAAATTAAAATTTACCTGCAGAAATCTGATGGTACCATCCCATAGACATCTATCCTGTCACATAACTCTAATGCGATACTCATTGTGAACCATCCAGTGCTAAGCCACGTGTTGGATATCTTCCTGAAAGCAAAAACAATTAAGTTCCCAGGGTGACAAATGATACTTGAGTTAAGGTAATGTTAGTATGTTTTTTTAGTTATCTATTAACATTCATAGAAAATATTATACACACTTAGCATCCAACATTTATTGTACTCCCCCAACATGTAATAGATTTAACTATGTCATCCTGATTGTCAATAAATGTTTTTGGTAATTGCATTTTTCATTTTAATACTTTAGAGAGAAGTGGTATTATTTATTTATTTAAAGTTTTTGTATCCCGCCTTTTATAGTGTCTCAGGGCAGCCTAATATGGATTTTTTATTTATCTAAGTTATATTTATCTGAGCAGGAGTCTTTTCTGAGTAATAATCACACTTCATGCAATGTACTATGTGTTCCTACTGATTAAAGAGAGGATGCTTCAAATTTGTATCTAGGTGGTAGATGAGTTTACTAGATGTGTGTGTGTGTGTGTGTGTGTGTGTGTGTGTGTGTGTGTGTGTTGAACCACTTCACATATCGAGGCAGCAGTTCCAGGATTGTTTAATCAAGAAACTGCAGGAAAGAACAGAGGATGCAAGTCATTTCCAGTTTCAATTAACACCTGGTTCCTGGGTTGTTTTGTGACGTTCGAAACTGGACAATCTAGTTTGTTTGGGGATTAAACAACCCAGAGTTTCCCCAACAAGTGCCCATGGTTTTTTGTTTATTCCCAATGAAGGAGCTTTCTTTCTATAACACATTGTGTTTCAATTTAGCACCTTTGAACATATGTTCCCTTCTTGCATTTCATTTAGGCTAGCACCTAGCCATCTACTTTGGGGGTTGTTATGGACGAGTTTTATAAGCCCCATCTAGAGTCTGAAATAGTACCAGCTGAGACAGATGTTCTGCAAAGAAAGTCAAGCACTGCTGTCTGCAGATCTTCGCTGCTGAATCAAGGCATATATCACAGGGGCAAAGATAAACCCTATAATCTTGTTCCATACTGAAGTTTAATAAATTGATTATTGCAGAGATAATTGGAAGCGTCAATGAGTTTGGCTCATTTTGAGGAAATTAATGTATTTCAGATAGAATAGTATTTCCTATGGAGTATTTATAGATCACCTCTGATACAGGTGTGTTCATATATAGGCATTGTACATGCAAAACCTTCTCTCCCTTGCCTCTCAGCTTTGGCTTCTAATCAAAATGACTACTTGAACTATTAATGGTGGTTACCAGTGAGTGAAGGAGATGTCAGGATTAAAAGTCCAGAGCAGATGCTTTGTACTGTCGCACTGTGATGAAAATGTTCAGAGGAATTGTGCCCTCTGATACTTTTTGCTGACTATGTAACTGATTCCAAAGAGATGACAGGCAAACTTGGTTCTATGCCTCATTTGCCTGTTACACATAAAATGATATATAGAACTGAGTAGGGGAAATATATTGAAATGTACAGCAAATCTGATTAGAATGTTAATGGTGTTATTCTGCTTGTTATTTCTAAGAGAATTTACTATTTTTCAAAAATACTAGGTGCACCCAATGGTGTCCATGCAGCAATCCTCTCCACATACGTAGCTTGCACCCAGATCTGCTCTAGAACAAAAGTAGGGGATGCATGGGGAAAGCAGTAAAGAAGAGAGGAAGGGGAAGTACAGTGGTACTCCTGTACAATGTAGGCTGAACCAATCTTAACCAAAAAAAATTAAAAATAAATAAATAAACCCTTCTAGATTTTAAGGAAAAAACTTGGAAGCTCGTACAAGGACATTAAGAACGAGTTTCTCTCTATTGCAGTCCACAGCCTGCAAACAAAGTAACAGGGATACACTGTTTTGTGTTGCCATTTAAAATAATTGAGGAATTACCTTTTATTAGAACATCTAATAAAACATTAGAACATTTTTCACCCACCAAGTTGCAAAGAAAGAGAATGAAGGCATAATACAAGCTTATTATAGAATATCATACACTCTTCTGTGTGATGAAGTAACACACTGTCCTGATAATTCTGTGGAGCATACTAAATTATAATTAAAGGCCTTTCTGCTTCATCACAATCTCATTTATAATCTCTATGGAAATGCTCTTCCTGTAAGTTACTTCATTTGTTTCTTTTATCTAATTACTGTACTATTGGTTCTCAATCATATTTTCTTAATGGACCTTTATTCAATTATAAACTTATTCTCAAGTACAGTTATTCTGCAATATGAAAGTCTATGGTTCTGCAGGCTGTGCCATTTGCTTTCCCATTTAATTGCTGCTAATTTCAAATGCTGCCCTTACACTTTTAAAATAAGAGTTTTAAATAGGACATTAACTCAACAATTCAACTAAAGATAGAGAGTTAGGAATGAACTAATTCTACATGCACATTTTGATTTTTATAATTTACTGTTGCAATTTAGAGCTTGTTAAATTTTATCCAAAAGTGAACCTATTTTATTTAGCATAGTATGTCACTTACAAAAGTTCTCCTCATCTGGTTCCTGATTCATAGAATCATAGAATAGTTGGAAAGGACCATGAAGGCAGAAGGCAGAAAGGAACTAAAGAGCCTCTTGATCAAGGTGAAAGGGGAGAGTGCAAACGTTGACTTGAAACTCAGCATTGAGAAAACATCCAGTCCTACCATGTCCTGGCAAATAGATGGGGAAGAAATGGAGGTAGTGATGATTTTCATTTCTTGGGCTTCAAGATCACCACAGACAGAGAGTGCAGCCAAATTAAAAGACGCTTGCTCCTTGGGAGGAAAGTGATGACAAATCTAGACAGCATACTAAAAAGCAGAGACATCACCCTGCTGACAAAAGTGCGTATAGTCAAGGCAATGGTTTTCCCAGTTGCAATGTATGTCTGTGAAAGCTGGACCATAAGGAAGGCTGAGCGCCAAAGAATTGAGGCCTTTGAATTGTGGTGCTGGAGAAGACTCCTGCGAGTCCCTTGGACTGCAAACCAGTCAGTCTGATCAAACCAGTCAGTCTTAGAGGAGATCAACCCTGCCTGCTCTTTAGAAGGCCAGATACTGAAGATGAAGCTCAAATAGTTTGACCACCTAATGAGAAGGAAGGACTCACTGGAGAAGACCCTAATGCTGGGAACAATTGACGGCAAAAGAAGAAAGGGACGGCAGAGAATGAGGTGGCTAGATGGAGTCATTGAAGCAGTCAGTGTGAGCTTAAGTGGACTCCGGGGGATGATGGAGGACAGGAAGGCCTGGAGGAACGTTGTCCATGGGGTCGCGATGGGTTGGATGCGACTTCAGAACTAACAATAATGACAATTCCTTGAGCATTTGTAAATCTTGGGCTTCCATCTCTCACTTTCAACTTGTACTTCCTCTTGGCTGTAGATTTCCTTGTAAGAGAAGACTGAGGTGAAGTAGGAATTGAGTGCCTCTGCCTTTTCCTTGTCATCTGTTCTCACTCTGCCATCTACTTTAAGTAGCTGGACACCCTTCTCTTCCTGATGTCTTTGGTTCTGGATGTATCTGAAGAAAGCTTTCTTGTTCTCAACATCCCTTGCTATTCTCAGTTCATTTCCCATGTTAGCCTTCCTGATGTTATTCCTGCAATTCCTTGCTTTTTGTTTATATTCTTCCTTCGTGGCCTGGCTCTGCTTCCACTTCTTGTACATGTTCTTTTTCTTCTTTCAGGCTGTCACTTAACTTTTTATGGAGCCACAGGGGGTTCCCCTGTTTTCTTCTGCACTTTTTTTCTTGTTGGAATTATTTGTAGTTGTGCTTGGAGAATTTTCCTTTTTTCATTATGTCCCACTCCTTTTGGACTCCTTTTCTCCCAAGAGTTGCCATGGCACTTCATTTATCATTGTTCTGAGTTCATTACAATTGGCTTTCTTTTTTCTTTTTTTCATTTTGAAAGCAAAACAACTATAAGAAACAGAGCAAGCTGAAATAGACAAATTTCTGCTTTAATTCTCTTAAAAGAAAGATTCAGTGCATTAATATTAATTGATAGTATCTTCAAACTCAATCTCTCTCAACTATCTCTAAAACTCAACCTAGGGAGCTCAGAAGACTGTCTCTTTTCAGATCTGTCATCAACTTTGCATCCAATTCAGATTTCCTTCTCTCATTAATTGTTCTCTTCTTCTCTGCTCCTCTGCACTTCCACCTCTCACATTTCTTCATACCTATAAGTAAACTACAATTTGACAGTACAGCTTAAAGCAGAAGAGTTAAGGGAGGATAGTTGAGAAAGAAGGAAAGAAAAAAAGGGGGGAGGAAAATATAAGAAGAAAAAGAAGAAAAAAGACAAAAGGCAAAAGTGGATAATGCTAGTCAGCTTTCAATCAATATTAGAATTATTAGTCCCATTCTATCTCTATTAAAATATTAGAGATAATCAAAATATTAGTTTGAATTAGTTTGTTAAGAAGAGACATTGTTCCAACTTAGCAAAAGGCCCTGATTTCTTCTCCAGGTCCAATGGGCACAGTCAATGGTCTTTTCACAGCACGTCATGTTTGTTCTTTTGTTCTGTAGAATTATTCATTTATTATTCTTAATGGGGGCCAGGACCAGTAAAAAACCAACAAACAAAAAACCCAGGTCCTATCAGGGAAATAGTTCCTTACAGCAAATCATGTATAGTTGAGATCAAAAACAGCAACAAGATATCACCTGGCTCAAACACACAGCAACTCCCTTAAAACTGGCTATGAAGGGGGAGAGAACCATCTCTTCTGCTACAGTGAGCTTCAGCCAAGGTGAATTTATAATGTCCAGGATTCTTGAATAAAAATATCAGACAATTCACCACTGCAGATTTAAGTAGAAGAGTACCCTTTTCAAAGTCTTTTCCAAGCAGAGAAACAAAAATGCCTTAAAATCATTACCTCAAATCTCAGCTGTCCAAAAAGCACCACTGATCTCCTTCTCAATTTAAAAAGCACAATTAAGTTTGAAAATTCACCCAGCTAGTATTTTCATGCCAAGGTCAGTTTACAGTATTCATAATGCTTAGTTCTAGAGCAGAGATGTTAAACAGCTTTGCAAATAA